TCCGATCTCAGGGAACCCTTGCTCAAAATTACTATATCTACAACTCATGATACATTAGTGTGATGGCCGGTAGGAAGAATGCTCACTACACTTGTGGTCATTGGGAATAATTAGCACCTTACATGTAGCTAGAAAGATCAATGGTGTCAGTGAGAACTTATCTGAGAGGCAGAAATGTGTTCATTGCTCAAAGAATCCTTAGCAACCTCTTCCATTGAACCCTGATTGAGATACCCTGATCTAGATCATCACCCATAGAAGCCCTCCTAAAGAAGAAGGTCTATCCCACAAAACACGTTGAGGCAACAGCAAGGTGGTTCAGGGCTCCTAAGCACATTTGGAAACTACAGATCATATACAGGGGAGTCCACCATATCTAAAAAGGATTTTTTAGTGCTCATTGTACCAGTTATACATGTATACAGGGGCGGACTGACAACTCATGAGGCCCCTGGGCAATAGGGGATCATGGGGCCCCTGTGTCCTTGACCAAACTCAAAAAAGCCTATGAAAAAGGTACCAGGGGCATCTCATGGGGCCCCCACTGACCCCGGGCCCTTGGGCAGTGCCCGAGTTTCCAAATGGTCAGTCTGCCCCTGCATGTATACATGTTTTTACTCAAGAATCTTATGTGAATAAGGGTCAGGAAATAAAGTCTGTTTGTTCTTTCTCACCAGTAAAAGTCCACAGTGTCCTTCCCTTTGGGGATTTATTGTTTAGTAATGCATTTAGTGGTTAAATATTACATTTCAAAAGAGGTCCATATGTCCAAAGAATGATTATGGCAGAATGGGCAAGTTAGCCAGTTTGCCTCCCTCAACCCCGTTCTCTCAGCTTACATCCACTGGGGCCTACGCTCCTGTCTAGGTTGCCTTGTGGATGATCCGTCCTTGCAGAGCAATAAGAGGGACAACTTAGGAAGGAGGGACAGAAGGATGTGGTTTGAAAGAGGAACTGTGTTTCTGAATAGAGAACAGTTGAGAGCTATGAGATTGTAACATTCATCTAAAAAGTTGTTTTTGACTTCCTCATTTATTCTTCCTTCATACCTCAGTAGGGTTTCCTATGTGCTCATTCTAGTCAGAGCCGTATTTAGACTTCTTGGTGTAGGCACATTTGAATGATGAGTACCTTGCCCACTGTATCATGCAATTTTTTTAGTTAACACTAACACTAGAATGGCTGCTTGGAGGAATCATATTGTCTGCCTTATAGTCAGAGCTACATTTTAACTACATAGACCATCAAACAAGACAAATGAGAGATGTTATAATCTTTCCAGAACTATAGTGGCTCCTTCCAGCATCTCCCTGGTCAGTGGTCAATGGAAGTGGTCAGAAGAGGGAATCACAATAGTAGTGCACCTTACTATGCTGTCCTAACTAGACTCCTATTGGGTGTCTGAAGCACATCTGCATCATTAGGGACTGCAAGAACATCCCAATGACATCAGAGAGGAAGATAGCTGCATGTGATTTGGAAATTGGCAGTGGAACAGTGGGTCAACAGATTAATGCTGGGTTCACTGGGCATGGGGATTTCCCTTCTATTAGGTGTCTGAATTTGTCAGAGAAATGTACATTGCATGCATGTCATCAGGGGCCTAGCTGCAAGAACCAGGAAGAAGCAGACATGATATCAGAGATGAAGATTGCTGTGTGTGACCCAGCAATTGGCAGTAGAACAGCGGGTCACAACAGTTTACTGCTGGTTTCACTGGGCATGGGAATTTTGCTCTTTTTGGGTGTCTGAAGCTGTCAAAGCAACCTGCAGTATGCGGGCATCATCGGGGGGCTAGCTGTAAGAACCAGGAAGAGGCAGACAGCTCCTGATGATGTCAGAGAGGAAGATGGCTACACTTGACCAGGCAATGGAACCGTGAGTCAACAGATCAATGCTGGGTTCACTTGGCATGGAGATATATTTATTGAGCACAACCCAGCATAAAGGGCATGTGGAGATGGGGAAAAAAAATAAAGCAGTGGAGTGACGTTCTTCTTTAAGGAAACAAGTGAAAGCCAAACAATAAAATACTACTACCATCATGAAGCACTTCAGGAGTGGGTGAAACCCATTTAGCTCACTTTAATTTATTTATTTTTATTTATTTCAGGTACTTATATAGCGCGGTCAATTTACGCAGTGCTTTACATATATATTGTACATTCACATCAGTCCCTAACCCTCAAGGAGCGTACAATCTCTCTAACTCACATTCATACATACACATACTAGGGCCAATTTAGACAGGATCCAATTAACCTACCAGCATGTCTTTGGAATGTAGGCGGAAACCGGAAAATCCGGAGGAAACCCATGCAGGCACAGGGAGAGCATGCAAACTCCAGGCAGGTGGTGCCGTGGTTTGGGATTTGAACCAACGACCCTAGTACTGCCAGGTGGAAGCACGAACCAACCGGGCAGCACAGTGACTAAATGGTTAGCACTTCTGCCTGGCAGTCCTTGGGTCATTGGTTCGAATCCCAACCACGGCAGAACCTGCCTGGTGTTTGCATGTTCTCCCTGTGCCTGCATGGGTTTTCTCCGGGTACTCCAGTTTCCTCTCACACTCCAAACACATGCTGGTAGGTTAATTGTCTCCTGTCTAAATTGGCCCTAGTATGTGTATGTATGAATGTAAGTTAGGGACCTTAGATTGTATGCCCCTTGAGGGTTTTTTGATTATTGCGCAAAAAATAAAAAACACAGAGGCCATCAAATACCACCAAAAGAAAGCTCTATTTGTGGGGAAAAAACTATATGAATTTAATTTGGGCACCTCGTTGCATGACCGTGCAATTGTCAGTTAACCTCCCTAGCAGTCTGATTATGTCCATATTTCTGTGCTCAAAGCGGAAATATGTATTTTTTTATTGTAGGCCTGTAATTTTTAGGAATAACTCACTGAAATCTGTCCGAACAAGAGTCTAGTAGACGTCCCGGGTTTGTTAAAATTTGAAACACGAAATCATAAATTATAATTTAATAAATAATCATAAAACATAATCATATAATAATAAATTTAATTCAATAATATAATCAAACCAAAAACACTGAAATGTGAAATATAGCGCCAAGTTCGCACATCGCTGAGCAAAGTCGCAGAATCGTTTTCAGTGTCTGATGACGAATTTCCCCACGAATCATTATCACTCAATTCTGCAAGTGGTTCTGATTTACTATCGCTGTTCTCTAGCTGGTCTAAAACTGCTTTTGACCTAAAGGGACGTTTTTTTTTTTCGACGCCATGGACGTTTCTCAGTTTCCAGGCAGAAAGAACAGTAAAAATGCAGGCAGGACACAGGACAAAGCACTCGAGACAAAATGTATGTGAAATAGTTTGATACAGGAATGTTATACTATGTGATTTTAGTAAATTTAGTGAATGACACTTTTTGTCACTTTCAATTTTCCCGCCGATTCCGGCCCCTGTATGTCCCATCGTCGCAGGGGACGGAACCCAGAAGACAGATGCCGGCATCGGCCGGAGGACATTACAGGGGACACTGCAGGAGGGACATCGCAGGAGTGCAGGACAAGGTAAGAGAAGAACAGATCCTGGAGCAGCGCCGCATGGTAAGCCCGAGTGTAGCTCGGGGTTACCGCTTGTGGTACTGAAAGCTACACTCGGGAATACCGCCAGGGAGGCTACAGTAACGCAGCGCCGTATCACAAAAAATGGCCTGGTCAGGACAGGGGGGTAAATCCTCTGGAGGGCAAGTGGTTAAAGAAAGAACATGAGGTTAAGAATCACTTTCAACCAAGGTTTCTCAACTCTAGAGTTCCTCCAGAGGTTGCTAGGGGCTAAGTTCCCAATGACCACAAGTGTAAGGAGCATTCTTCCCACTGACCATCACAGTAATGTTTTTTTAGCACTGGCTTCCTGAGATTGGAAAGTTATTTCAAGGATTCCTGTGTTTTGTAAAGTTTGAGAAAGGCTGCTTTAGACTGAACAGATTTGGTTCTATAAATTCCAATTTGGTCATCTCCAATGTAATCAGACTTCATTGTTTGACCTTGAATTTGTTCTTACCCTTGGTTTATTTCCTAAATTGTATTTTCTTTTTTTGCCGGCCAATAATTGCAGGGTGTCGCTTATAAATGCATTTTGAAAGGGCAATAAGTGGTAATTTAAAAGAATTATCATTTTATAAAAACACGCAGGAGATGAATCTGACCTTGGTCTTTCCTTTCCGCACTTGCTTTTTTTACACCTGTTTTGTTTTACCTTTGTTAATCTAGCCAGGAAAGTCATTTTAGAATCATTTGTGACTTTAATGTTTTTTTTTTTTTCCTGCTGCTTCCATCCAATACTTTTAACACTAACGACTCCAGTTTACCAATTATTTTAGAGAGTGTCCAGGACCGAACATTTTTCTTCCCTTGCCAGCCAACAAAATTGACCCTCTTGGCTATCTCCTTGCAAAACTATTACTTCACAAAGCACATTGGACTGGGGCCAGAATCTGAACATTTTCCTCTTGTCAGCTAGGAAACTTGCTGAAAAGGCACTAAATAATAAAAGATTTTTTGGCAAAAATCCAGAAGGCAGCGGAAATGATCACTTTCACCCGCTCTTCATGCTAATTGTCCCTGATTATCAATTTTGGACAATCCTTTGAAACTTACAACATTCTTCTTAGTTGGATTCCACCGAACGTAACTCATTAACTGCTTAACTGCCAGAGGGGACAAGAGTCATTACAACGCTATTATGTTGCATTTCAAATGTTGTTTTTCATTTATTGCTATTTTGGTTTTCCTTTGTAGCCTATTTCAAGCACTGTTAGTTGTCACAAATATAATACAGGCAAGAGCACAATTGAAAATGGAAATAGGGAGGAAAAAATTTAAGGTGCTAGAATGGCTTTTTTAATTATATTAAACTTGACAAGATTTTATTTTTTTTTTAATTTTTTTCTGCAATTTCAGATTCATTGCGGAAAGCCTTAATACCCTGGTGTGCCAATTTCCAGGTTATAGGGCTTGCCCCATTCCAGTTTTCCACGCAATGATTTATTTTATTTATTTATTTCAGGTACTTATATAGCGCCGTCAATTTACGCAGCACTTTACATATATATTGTACATTCACATCAGTCCCTAACCTTCAAGGGGCGTACAATCTAAGATGGCAGATTGCAATACTTCGTTTTATAGAAAAAAAAAATCCATTGGCTCCCACTGCTGTCAACCACAGCCAGTAACGAGGGCGGGGTTGCGCTCTGTGTGTCTTATAGCAGGGGGAGCAGCCAGGAGCTGCAGCAGGGGATTTGAGAAAAGAGGATCGTAACTGCTCTGTGCAAAACAATTGCACAGAGCAGGCAATATGACATGTATAGCTCTCAAATCCTATTCATCTTTTTTTTATCAAGTATGTTTTTTTTTTTTTTTTCTCTCCAGCCCTTGTTGTTTAACCAGTTATTTTTATAATACAGGATTTATGTAGCGCCAACAGTTTGCTCAGCGCTTTACAATATAACGGGTGACAATACAGCAACAATACAGTTCAATACAAGAGGGAAAGGAGGGCCCTGATCCTTGGAACTTACAATCTAAGAGGAAGGGGCTAGTGGTACAAAAGGTAAGTTCCATGCCACCCTATAGCAGAAATACTGCTACAGGGCAGCACGGTGCACAAAATCACGTATATATATGTGATTTTGAGGTTCCGGTTAGGGGGCGCACGCCATCGCCTACTCACGCCACCATTTACGCGACTCGGCTGTCAATCACCAGGTTCCGGCCGGTGATTACTCGCCGGCACCCTGTGATCACCGAATATCTCAGACGGGGAAGAGAGCTGTGTATAAACAACACAGATCTCTCCCTTGTCAGCTCCTGCATGCTGCTTACAGTGAAGCACACACAAAGCCCACATAGTGAAACAGCACACAGTTAACCCTTTGATTGCCCCCCCCATGTTAACCCCTTCCTGCCCAGTGCCATTAGTATAGTGTCCGTGCTTTTTATTAGCACTGATCACTGTATTGGTGTCACTGGGGATGTCAATGACACCAAGTCAGTTCCCCCCAGTGTCAGGATGCCTGCCGCAGTCCCACTATAAGTCTCTGATTTCCGCCATTACTAGTAAAAAAAAAGAATTCCAGTATATATACCGCCATTTATAAATGCTAAAACTTTCATGTAAACCAATTAATTTACAAGTATTGGGATTTTTTTTTTTTAGCAGAGATGTAGCAGAATTCATTTTGCCTAAATGTATGATGAAATTAGATTTTTTTAATTTTTTTACTGGACATGTTTAATAGCAAAAAGTCAAAAATATTGTTTTTTTCTCTTTGTCGGTCTTTTTTTTGTTTATAGCACAAAAAATGAAAAACACAAAGGCCATCAAATACCACCAAAAGAAAGCTCTATTTGTGGGGAAAAAACTATATGAATTTAATTTGGGCACCTCGTTGCATGACCGCGCAATTGTCAGTTAACCTCCCTAGCGGTCTGATTATGTCCATATTTCTGTGCTCAAAGCGGAAATATGTATTTTTTTTATTGTAGGCCTGTTGTCTATTGTCGGTCTTTTTTTGTTTATAGCGCAAAAAATTAAAAACGCTCAGGCGATCAAATACCATCAAAAGAAAGTGCTATTTGTGGCAAAAAAGGACATAAATTTAATTTGGGTGCAGCATTGCATGACTGCGCAATTGTCAAAGTAACGCAGCGCCGTATCGCAAAAAAAACGGCCTGGTCGGGAAGAGGGGAGTAAATCCTCTGGAGAGAAAGTGGTTAAAGTGCAAGCCACGATTGAGTACCTTTCATGAATACAGTAGGTTTAGTATATGACAAAAATGGGTGGAAATTCAGATTTCAGATACTGACAACTTCCTCCAAGCTGTCACCGATGTGTTTTTAAGATGCTAGAACTTGTTTTTGACTGTCACCGAATCCTTGAGCTTACTTCCAGCGCGACTCCTTAGAGAATATTTACGGGGCTACAAACTTTGGCGTGCAGTCGGAGCGCTGTCACCCGGTGACTTTTGCATATTCATATCTATTACCCTGACATGTGATTGTCCTCTGACAGCTTTCACCGCTCTCCTCATCACCGTCTCACAAAATGTTCCATAGACAATAATTGTTAGTTAAGTCTGGCAGAGTAATATAATGATATAGGGATCTCTGCCGTGGAGACAGAAATCTTTGGTGGTGATTAAATTAAAGCAAACACATCAATCTGTTTAACGCAGCTGAAGATCTGTCCTTGCCTATGACGGGCATTATCGCTGTTCCACATCTAACAAATCTATTAAATTGTATTAAACATTACTGGAGTGTGTCTGTTGGGATATTCCCATTCTGTGTCAACAAAATATGCATATCATCAAACACACCACTATATGCATTTTCAATTTGTCATGAATAAATTGGGGACGCTGTTCCTGATCCTAGTCGGCAAACCTTCTTCTGTGTGCCTAGTTTCACTTTGTTACTAAGGCCTGATTTCTGCATGCCCCTGTCTAAGGCCGGCCATACATGGGTCAATTTCCGAACAATTTTTCGTTTGAAAATCGGACCTAAGAATAATCGGCTGATGTTCACTTTGTTAGTGCGGCCAATTTTCATGGTTCCTCCCCTTTTCATTTATCGGGCATGCTGGAAAATTCATGAAAAACGACTGATTTTCGAAATCATTGGTGGCACCATTGGATTACAGAATGAACATTGTTTTCGATTTTTGATCAAAAAATCGTTTGGGATTTGACCCATATATGGCCTGCTTAAGGAGATGACTGAATGGCCAGGAGATGCCCACTCATTGGACGGGGAGGGGGGGCGGTTGGCGGTTGGTGGTTGGTGGAGTCTGGAATAGTCAGATCCTAGTAACAATTTAAAACAAAATCAGTGGAACTACACTGGATCTGACCACCACAAACCCAAAAACCTTTTAATAATCACTTTTTAATATTCAAAGCAAAGACCACTGCTGCTCTGTCACCTTGTACAGGGTGACAGGTCTGGTCTCAGCCCCTTCTTTAGTTTTGTTGCGAGCAGTCTGTAGTAGGTGGGACCTGTTTAGCCCCTCCCACAGCTCTGCTGTCTGCACAAGCTATATGCAGCAAACTGATGATGTCACTGCGGCACTCTTTCCTTGTATAGGGTGGCAGGTCTTGTCCCCCCCCCCTCTCCTGTAGTTTTCTGCAGTAGTGCCCTCCCAAAACTCTGATCTTTGCACAGGCTACAGTTAGGTCCATATATATTTGGACACAGGCACCATTTTAGTTTTTTTCAGGTATATACCAAAACACATTCAAGCTATAGTTATATAATGGATATGGGCTGAAAGTGCACACTCTCAGGTTTAATTTGAGGGTATGTACATCCAAATTGGAGGAAGGGTTTAGGAATTACAGCTCTTAAGAGTAGCCTTCCCCTCTTTTTCAAGGTACCAAAAGTCATTGGATCAAAAGCTGTTTCATGGCCAGGTGAGGGCTACTCCTTCGTTATTTCTTCATCAATTAAGCAGGTAAAAGTTCTGGAGTTGATTCTAAGTGTGGTATTTGCATTTGGAATCTATTGCTGTGAACCTACATCATGCGTTCAAAGGAGCTGTCCATACAAGTGAAACAGGCCATTGTAAGCCTTCAAAAACAAAACAAGTCCATCAGAGAGGTAGCAGCAACATTAGGAGTGGCCAAATCAACAGTTTGGTACATCCTGAGGAAAGAAGAATGCACTGGTGAGCTCAGCAACATAAAAAGGCATGGACGTCCATGGAAGACAACAGTGGTGGATGATCGCAGGATCCTCTCCATTGTAAAGAAAAACCCATTCACACCATCCAGACAAGTAAAGGACACTCTCCAGGAGGTGGGCATATCATTATCAAAGTCTACAATCAGGAGAAGACTTCACGAGAGCAAATACAGAGGGTTCACCACAAGGTGCAAACCATTCATAAGTCTAAAGAATAGAAAAGCCAGATTAGATTTTGCCAAAATACATCTAAAAAAGCCAGACCAGTTCTAGAAACGAATTCTTTGGGCAGATAAAACTAAGATTAATCTGTACCAGAATGATGGGAAGAAAAAAGTGTGGAGAAGGCTTGGAACAGCTCATGATCCAAAGCACACAGCGTCATCTGTAAAACATGGTGGAGGCAGTGTGGCGGCATGGGCATGCATGGCTTCCAGTGGCACTGGGTCATTGGTGTTTATTGATAATGTGACAGAAGACAGAAGCAGCCGGATGAATTCTGCAGTGTTTACAGATATACTGTCAGCCCAGATTCAGCCAAATGCTGCAAAGTAGATGGTGCGAGGGGCCTAGTGAGCCCCTCCCACAGCTCTGTTGTCTGCACAGGTTATGTGCAGCAAACGGATGATATCACCGCTATTTCACAAAGCAATAACTAGGCTTGTAGCAGCATTTAGTGCACACAAACTGGATTCCTATCCTTTTTATCATGTATTATTTTATTATAAATAAATAATTCCCTCCATCCTTTTATTTGGAAGTGTGAAAAAAAAAACATGCGTCTGAGACCCCTATTTTGGAAATGATACTTTAATCAGTTTACGCTCCCTCTGCATTTTTCATGTAGTAATTCATTAGTCCGTCATCTTTTTTTTTTTTCTTCTTTTTTTTTCCAGGCACCTGCTAGAGATGAAAGCCTAGCAAATGTCAGCAATGCAGCTAGCTGATGCCTTTCCACATAATTAGTGCGTTGCAGAAATGGAAGAAACGTTTTTGCACAAAAGTGACCCGCTGTGCTTTCCCCCTGAAAAGTAGCCAATTACCCATCCTCCTGTAGACACTTTGAGCATAAAATGCATGTGTGTACTCAGCAGGTGATTACAGCATATTGACATCTGTAAACACAAATAATTATGCAAAACAGTATTTTTGTAGTTTTTTTTTGTTTTTTTTTCCTTCCAGCTCCAGTACTTTCTAACTTATCTGCCAGCATCCTTGTGTCTAAGACCCATCTGTTATTTATTATATCATTTGGATGCTTGCCAGCGGTAGCAAAGCAAAGGCATGTGGAACAAGAATGTTTTCTTATCTGAAATTAAGGCT